TTTCAAAAACCAGCAACAGATATTCTACCAGTAAAAAAACTTGAGAATAAAGGAAAGGATATATTTGGACTCCACTATTTTGGATTTTTTTCCCCCTAAATCAATATTAACATGTGAAAGGCATTTCATGAGAAATCAAACTGTATTACAAGAAATCAATATATATACACACACCTACCTATGTATATAGGTAGGTGTGTGTATATATGTATGCATGTACATACATACATATGTATATATGTGTATGTATTTAAAACTACAGCAAAAACAAAAACACTTTTTAAGAGGTAGAGGGATCATAGGACCAAAACTGTACAAGGCAACAATTCTATTTTGTTATGTCACCACTTTTCGACCCATCCACCACCTAAATTTGTCTTGTAGCAATACCATCCATTTTGACTAGCACCTTGGGATCTCAATGACTATTATGACAGGAATATTGAGACTAATTACAATAACAATTAAGGCTCAGTGCTCAGCTTCTCATTTTGATCTCATTTCCAAGAATTAGTTTGAATTTTTACACATCGAACTGAAGTTTATTTGCCACAAATTACAAATTCAGGATAGAAACCTACAATAAACTCAGTTAAGAACCTCTAAAAACAGTTTTGACACAACACCTCTAAAAGAAGACTGCTTTACCATTTGTCCTCAATGCTCAACGTTTCAAATTGTATAGAAAATTAAAGGTGAAGATGTTCTCAAAGGCAATTTTTAAGCAAGTTATGTTTGAAGTCAAATTGCTATTTGTGTCTCTACAACAATCCCTTTAAAAATGTTTCCTGCTCTAAAATTCAAAGGGAAAATGCTTTAAGTATATGCATACCAGAAACAATAAACAATGAAAATGATATTATGCTTCAGTCATGTTTCATATGTAAGTAAACCATCAAAAAATACTTACCCTTAATACCTAGCATACCTCTATTTAAATTCTATTCCAATGACTAACTCACTATGACAGAGAGACTGAGCTCTCAAAGCATATGTGGAAAGTCTATGTTATGACAACAAACTTTAGAAAAATACAGGTCCTGATATGGTTTACGTTTCCTGTTGTTCCATGATCACTATCATTTGAGAATTTCCATTAATCCATAAAAATTAACTACAAAGGGATGGATTTTTTGAGGGGATGAGTGGTAGGGGAACAATGAAATTTCTAAAGATAGGGCTGATGGGAAATTATGCCAAAATCAATGAAACTAGATTGTTGAAGAATTAACATCTAAAACACAATTGTTATCTGACAAATAATTAACAATGCAGAAGAAAAAAGTCCAATTGGTGCTCATTCCAGTATATATTTAATTAGTTCTTGACAATCTTCAATGACATAATAGGACATAAAAGACTATTATGCCAGAAGGTTTTTTCAAATTTTCTCCAAAGATGACCAATAATATAGGTTAGAAGATTTATAAAAATAGCTACTAATTTAAACTGTGAACTGTCCACATAAAGAAAGAAATATGGTGATTTCTTCCAATTAACGTATAATTTCAGATGAAGCAATATTTATGATGAGTGGTGCACAGGCACTTATAAATGGATTTGCTCTCTTACCAACATATAGGGCCAGAACCTCAAAAAGAAACTTAACTTTAAAACATAGATACTTGTAAATTGAAAATGAGTTAATATTCTCTTCACTGCTGAAAAACAAATGCTAGGAGTATCTCCATCACAAGCTTTTATATCATGTCAAAAATAAATTATCCTTACTCCCTCCACCTTCTTTTAATTGAAGCACCACACCGCCATCCATATAATCCTGGCATTTCGTGTAAAAATGCTAATTTACAAGTATATTATCTTCATTGTTAATGTGGCTTTTGCTAACGTTACTTTTGCCAATTGAAAAGGCACTACAAGAATGCTCATTTCCCATGATCAAAATGCCTTTATTTGCCTTTTTTCCCTTATGTCTTCCCATAATTCCTACCTAAACACTCTCAGTTTCCAAATAGGTTCAATGCTTCAAACACACTGTGTATAAACAAGCATGTAATATATTTAGTACATCACAAGATTAACGTAGCAGGAAGCCATTCTTTAAAAAACCTCACACTTACAAAATGCCTGCATTTTTGCAAAATGAGCAAATCATATGAACCTAGTAAAACTTAATTAGAAATCTGATTCAATTCATTCATCACTGTGGGAAAAGTTGTCAGAGAATATAAAATAGGAAAAATAATTCTCATCACTGAGCAAACACCATGAAACCTAGGATTATGTTGTGGGTTTTTTTTTTGTCCAAGAGAAATTGAGAAGATGTTTTACATATAATTCCTAAAGATGTTTACATTTAAGAGCTAAAACCTTGGACACATCCTTGGGTCATAAGAAAATTTAAAATATGAATTATAACTTAGGAATACGACTCTTAAGTTATCTTTGAGACCTCATTCAAATCTTTAAAACATAGTCACTGAGAAACATCAAACAGTGGCTTTAATACCAACACTGGAGGTCATCAAAAAAATTTTTTGGGGGGTAAAACATGAGGATTTTTTTTGTCCCTCAAAAGGAAAAAAACTAAGCAAGTTAGAAAGACAGATGGTTCCTGTAAGAAATTAGGCTTCAGTTATTTATATATTTTGTGAAAAAGCTTATAGCAATGGAGAAAGTTTAATACCACAAGTAACAATTTATAGATGTTTGCACCACAGAATACAAATCAAAGTATAAAGTACCACTTTACGAAAGGAACAAGTTACGAATTTTTAAAAAAGGAAAGAAGCTTATTATACAAAAACAAAACGCCTAAGCCCGGAGGTTTTAACTCAATCTGAGAACTTACCATTTGGTTCCTCTCCTTTTAAAACTGAACAATGAAGAAACAAGATAGCACATGAGGGCCTACTTTCAAGTTTTAAAAAACAAAATCATTCAAAACATTTGCCAGTACTTTTCAAATACAATTCTTCTATAATGAGTCAACAGTAGATATAAAAATTGTAACCACATATCTTTATCTTGGTAAGCAATCTGGAAGATGTCATAATTATTATTAGCTATGGAAAATACTCTCCATTCAAAAGGTAATGGTACCAGGCAGAGAAAAACCACTTTAGTGATACACACGAAGTTAAATATTCACTTTTAATAATATAAAAAAATTAAGAACATAATTTTCTATTTAATTCTAATGTCATAGCATTAAAATTAAATTATAAACTACAGAAAATACTGCTTTAGTCAGAAAATTTAAGATCAGAAAAATTTATGTGAATGTTATTTTACACATTTCAATGGCTGATTATGCATGATTGCATATTTATACATACTCACAAATGAAGCCGTTTTAGCCAAGAAAATGAATGAGGCTAAAGTGAATATGGTTCTTCTAAAAGTCTGTTTTCATGAATGTATATGCTACACAAAGGCACATAATGCAAAATTATGCTAACATGCAAAACAGTAAACTGAATATGAGTTCTAGAAGAGAATCACTATTTAAATGTCTGTATAGGGAAATCTTTTTTTAAAATAGAAGTGATAGTTAATACCTTGTAAGAGTTTAAAATATTTAAATTACCATGCTGTAATACTTCAAAATAGGATAATTCATGTTTTTTCAATCTTAAAACAATGTTTAAAATGCAAAGCTATTTCCTCATTTAACTACATTGTTTTAGCAAAACATCAAAACAATAACCCCTTTGAAATAAGGTATTATTTGCAAACATTGACATTAGCCAGAAATTTTAAGTATGGAATTATTTTTAGAATTCTAGATTCTATTGATTTAAAGTCATAATACATTGAGTCAGCTTAAAGCTGAATAAATTAACATTAGTTCAAAGCATATGATATAAATACTATTTATACCATTGCTTTCTATTCTTAGATAACATTCAAATACTGTTTTGACATCCTTTTTCCACTGCTGAATAATATCCTCAAAACTATCACTTACTGTCAATACAGACAAACTTAACTGATGTTATCACTTCTGAAACACCTTAAGATAGGATTCAAGAAAAACAACAAGATAAAATGATACATATCAAGTATCAATCATACTTTAAGTGATTTATGGCTGACTATTTTAGGTTTGACTCAAAGGGTAGCACTCATTTTTCCAAACTGTAATTTTGAAAAATTAACAAAAAAGTACCATTTCCTACATTATTATTATCTTTACTTTGATTTAAAATTATTAAAAGTAACCACTTAACCATACGAGTTTGCGTTTTATCCTTACACGAACCGAAAGTAAAAATTTGAAAAATCTAACAAATTATATATTTTAAAAGCTTCCTCTTCACAAATGCTGTATATTTTTTAAAAACACGATAAAAAAACCTGTAAAAGTATCAAAATGTTACCTCAGTTGAATAACATGGACTTAAAAAGAAGCTAAACTGTTAAGACATTAACTATATATTTAGCTGCAAAGAGCCCCAAGCTGCCTTTAAATTTACATAGTCCATTAGCAAAGTCTTCAAATCATGATACAGCCAATATTATATTCATTTAAAACTCCTAAAATTTATTTCTATCAAATTAGCAATGTGTGGAATAATTTCGATTTTAAAATACAAAGGGTAGCTTGAAGTTGTCAAAATATAAAACAATGTATTTAATCATTTTTAATTCATATTAAATTCTGTCGCAGAAAAACCTTCAAAAATTGTTGAGTAGAGCAGCCAAAAAAGGACTTTTCATCCACATTATGTCTGGTAAGTAACAGACAAAGCAAGTAGAAAAGAGGGACTCTGCACAATTACATAAGGATGAATACTAATTATAATAGAAATCAGTAAGATGCTGTAAATCCAACTAGTAACAGAAATAAAGAAGTCATGAAAAGAAATGCATAATAAATAGGACACCACCCTCATAAAAGTATTTTCATTGAGGTGAGAACACTGGAAAGAAAATTTACTTCTCGCTATAAAGAAATACCTATTCAAGGAATAAATCAGGTGTTATCTCCCTGTCTGCTGAAGATTACCATTTTAATTAACTAATATCCTACTTACATTTTCCAAATAGTTTGGTTTAAATCCTTCTTGCTGTCTTCGAAGTTCCTCTTGTTCTCTATGACGTATCATCTCTTCTTCACGACGACGATGTTCTTCTTCATGTCTAAAGGGATTCATTAATCTCTTAATACTGTGAATTCTATCTCATGATGTAACATTTTATCTGACTACTACATCTCGTAGCAACTCTATTACTTGGCATGTATTCCTTTACTCTGGTGACTCAAACTCATTAAGCACAGAAGTAGTAAATAAATAGCCTCTACTTATAAGAAAAAATGGCATGCCCACAACTGAATGTGGAAAACACACACACTTCTTTTCCTCACTCTCAATTCCTCAAAAATGTCTTTTTTTTTTACCACCAACAGACCCCAATACTCACACCAAATTTAACAGTATCTTTAACTCTGTCCTCTCCCTCATAACTAAAATAATCAGTGTTGAAGGTTTATGCCACATTTCCATATCTTTGCAATCATTCCTCTCTTCCCCATTATCAACTAGCTAGGAATTCTAGTTCTCTGGGAAATAAAAGCAAAGAGTTTTCCCCTCAGTACTTACATTAGAAACTTAGTGTTTTTCCATTTGAAATAACATTAGCTCTGGGTATTAAGATATTTGATTGTGATAATTTTAAGTAGGTCCTTTTCCAGATCTTTGCTTTTGAGATTTTTAGCAAAAACACATGTGTTCTTTTGTCATAGCACCTATCATGGCTACTATCATGTGATTTTTAAAAAATTACTGACATGTCTGTTTATGCTAATTGACTCCCTATAAATGCCAAAACTACATCATCTAAAAAGAATGTAGAAAGGTATCAGACTAAGGTCACTGCTGTGAATGCTAAGGACTAGTCACATCAGATAAGGAAAACCAACCATATAATTCCTGGAGAACATTCTTTTGGAGTAGACGAATACAACACGACTTCAATCATATGCAGGAACAAGCATGTCTTCTTCCATCATAATAGCAATCAACTAAAAATTTCCTTCCATGTATTTGGTTAAACTTGAAAGTTGGATTTTATATGTGATGCGTATATTACAGAAGCAATCAACCACTTACTAAGATAATCTTTCAAGTATTTCACAATACATGACATGAATGAAGAAGCAGATGGGAAAAGACTGCAAGGTTGTAGAGGGTAAAGTGAAAGAACTACCACATACCAATACAGTGACCTAAGGGAAATGTAGCAAGCAAATATAGTTTAAGATTGATTATAGACATGTTCCATCACGAGATTCTAAGAATTAAAAGCCTAAAACGAAGTAAAACAGAGCTGTGCTTTCTATACCGATATGCCTTTGCCTAAGTATTTCTCTTCTTTCTCCCCTGCCTACCTGTCCTTTCAACTGTCAAAACATTTTTTTTTTGCCTAATGGTACTTAATATATTCAATCTTACATCACAACTGCCCATAAAAACTTCTAAGATATTACTATGACATCAGGGAACAAGTATTATTTATTTCTGTCATCAGTGAAAACAAATGTGTATTAAATACAATCAAATGCAGCCTTTATCAATTTCCTTGAAAAGCTAATGTACTCAAAGAGATATTAAAATACCTTTAAATCTTTCCAATACATAACTTGATGATTTAACAGCCAATGTTCCTACGATATTTTTAAGTCTTAGAAAGCAGTTTCACACACATTTCATACACATCATTTGTCATAACACAAAGAAAAAAATTATGTTAAAGTTTTAATTCAAAGACCTGGGAAATTACTCAATTCATAAACATGAACAGATGTTGAGAATCTCATCCTTATCACTTATTTTTTACTTCTCTCGAGCCAGCAAATGAATCAAGAACAGCCCTCAGTACTATCTACACAATTCTTTTATGCATTAAACCATTACTTTCCCCAAATTTTGCAAGGTTTTACACAGTATTTTTATTTCTAAAAATATTCAAGCATATTTTAAAGTTCAAATATTATGCTGAAGTAGTAATTCATTTGTTTAAAAAAAAAATCACCATTTACCTTAACTGTATTTGCTTGCGTTTCTGAAGCTCTTGATTTCGAAGTTCTTCCAAACGCCTCAGTTCTTCTTGGCGCCTCATAAGATCTATAAAATATTAATTTTAAAATTATATCAATTATGTGCAGTCAAGAAGGGATGATAAAATCAATATAATTGTATAAAATCAGTTTTCACATTCAAAAGAACTAGAATAAGCAACTCAAATTTTAAAAAAAATTATGATACAAACTTCACTCTTGTTCCATTTTTGTCAGTATGATGCTCTGCACAAAGCAGAAACTCAGTAAAACCTTACCAGAAGTCCTTTAGTAAAGTTTTCCTCTCCAATAGCTAAACCTGCATTGTATCTCAACTCTAATCAGCTTTAAGATTCAATCATATTTGTCTCACATATAACTGTTTTTTGTCAAATCAATAATAGGGCTGGATGACTTCCTAAAGTTTTTAAGTCCAATTTCATTTATTTTACTTTTATATTTAAGTGGGCCCAGAAACATTACTTTTAAATTAATTTCAAATTTAATATTAAAGTGATTAATTTTGATAATTCCCTTCTGTGACTTACTCATTAACTGAGTACCCTAGCCAAAGATATCAAGTTAGGAAAGTAAGGGAAAAAATCTACTATCCAAGAAGATAATGAATGCAATATTTTAGAACTGACCTCCAAAGGAAAGAGAAACCAAAAAAAAGTGACAACTATTGATTCCAAAATTATTATTTTAGTAAAATTTATCTATGCTTTCTATAAAACATAATGATAAGAAAATTTTCATTCATTAACAGTCTGTTTTCTTTATAAAATTCCTTAAGACTAGAAATGGTTTTAAATATATGGGCCCCGTAGGTAGAGAGAAAACATCAGTGTTCCTCACTTCCACAAAAGATCATATACTAGCCAACCAAACTGACCTTGTCACTGAAAACTATCCTACCATAAATGAAAAAGAAAATACTTTTTAAACATCCATCTTTCTGACTGGATCCCTTAAACTTACCTTACCATCTAATAGTTTATATATCCAAGATTTATAGAGACATAAATCCAAAAGCCATTTCCCAATAACGAAAGTCAAAGAATATAAACACTTTTCAAAAGAAGAAGTGCAAACTGTTAACAACCATATAAAAATGTTCCAAATCACTAATTAAGTAATGCAAAACAAAATAATTCCGAGGTTTCACCTCACATTTGGCAAACTGGCCAAGACGACAAAAGATAAAATAGTTAGTGTTGGAGGGATTATGAAAAGACAGGTACACCAACATATTCTTGGTGGAGTTGTGGATTAATAGAACCATTATGGAAAACAATTTTTGGAATTAGGTAAATAAAGTGACTAAAATGTTCATTCACCTTGATCCTGAGTCCAATGTTAGGATATACCCCTAGTATATTGACAAAAAGGTTTCATATACACCAAAATATTTTTATCAGCATTTTTTTGTGATAGCAAAGAACTGGAAACAAAGTAGATGCCCATCAAATGAGGTATGGCAAAACAAACTATGGTATACAAATGTAACAGAAAAACTTAAATGGAGAGACATACACCACAAAACAACTGAACGTGAAAGCTGTGAAATTACAAAGAAGCTCGGACCCAAAAAAGAGACGAATTCTCATAGTTTCCTCTCTCCTCCATATGTTCATCACAAGAATGCTGGCCTACTTGCATTTCCTCAAACATTACACCCCATTTCCAGTTTTCATGCCTTGGCAACTCATTTTCCCTCATACTAGGAATGTTCTTCCTTCTCACCTCTGACTCTTAAGCTTCTTTGACTTCCTTCAAGATTCAGCTCAAATTTCACCTATTTCCATCACCTTAGCCACTAACGCCTTTTCTTCTCTATCCATTCCTCTTACTCTAATCCATCTATACACTGTATGTATCATCTTCTATGTAATTCCTGGTTCCTCCTTCCTGTCCCACCAGATACTAATGCCTTGCCTTCTCAAGAGTGAGCGTGTGCGTGTGCACGTGCTTAACTAACTAGTTGTTTACACATTATCTCCACCATTAGAATGTAAGCTCCATGATGACAGGGAATCATGTTTTATATTTCTATCTCTAGTGCTTGGCACACATTTAATAAATACTTGTTTACTGAAATTTAAGATATCTTCCTCTATCCCTCAACCTTTGCAAAACACAAAAGTCAGAACTTTTTGATGTGTCGACTGGTTTGGATAAACTTTTCTCTCAAAAATTTTTGTTATAAGCAATGACTACTTGGAAGAGGAAATAAGGGATACAGGTTGAAATGCAAGAGGTATAAAACCAAAAATAGTACAATTTTTAAATTCTTCTTATGTATAAAATGCATCATATAAAGGATATTTTTTCTTCCTTTTCACATTTAATCAAGACTTTTCTCTATAAGCAGAAATAAAAAGTTATCCCAAAATAATCACCTCATGATTAGATAATACAATAATACAGAGGAATGATTTGGCATAAATAAACCTGGTATAAGACAAACTCATTTAACTTTGACATTCACTTAATAACTAAACTAGTAAGTTTTTATACTTTTAATTAATTATACAAACTATCCATATGAATTCAAAATTTACTTAAATAGTACCTTGTTTTTCAATCCTATTTTGGGAGTTTGCTAAGTATATCAACATGAGACAGTTAACTATAAAGCCTAAAAATAACCTATAAGTTTCAAATGTTCTAACAGAATGCTTTGAAACAGACAAGTTTGGTTTATTCAAAATGCTTAAAAGGTATTATTAATTCATGAAAACAAAATAAATTTTTCCTCAAAATGAGGAAATTGCAAACATTCACAACGATGACAAACTTAATAGAATCAGGAATTTTACTACCTAACAATAAGGATTTTTCTCTGCACTGATGACTAAAAACAAGATAGCGTTTACAAAAAGTAACTTCTAATGAATCCACTGATATTTATCATTTGTTGTTGAGTCATTTCAATTGTGCCCAACTCTTGTTAATCCCAGTTGAGGTATTCTCGGCAAAGATATTGGAGTGGTATGCCATTTCTTTCTCAAGCTTATTTTTACAGATGAGGAAACTGAGGCAAACGGGGTTAAGTGACGTGCTCAGGTGCACACAGGTAGTAGTGTCTGATAGTGGATTTGAACTCGGGTCTTCCTGACTCCAGGCACAGCACTCTATCCACTAAGCCACCTAGCTATCTCACTTCACATACCAAATCAAATTCTAAATGTTGTGGATTCAAAGTCTACAGTTTCTCTCTCATCACTTATTTCCACTCACATAACCACTAGCCTAGTTCAAGGCCCTCATAACCTAAGGGCTGGTGAGCCATCATGGACTACAACAACAGTATCCTACTCAGTTTCTCTATTTGGAGTCTCTTCCCTCTACAATCCATCCTACACATAGGTGCCAAGGTGATTTTCCTAAAGCAGAGATCTAATCAAGTCACACCATTACTCAAACTTCAGTTGCTCTGAAATCCTTTCACACTAGCTGAATTGCCAAGCACTCAAACCCAACTGCAGAAAGCACAACTCAAATGGGCTGGCCTCACTGTTCGGATGCCAAACCTAAGTTTTCCTAAAAGACTATTTTATGGAGAACTCACACAAGGCAGGAGCTCACATGATGGTTAGAGGAAGCAATATAACGACACCATCAAGGTCTCTCAGAAGAACACTGGTATTGTGACATTGGAAACACCGGCAAAGAATCATCCAGCATGGTATGTCCACACCAAAGGTGCTCTGCTGTAGAACAAAGGAGAATTGCAGTAGTTCAAAAGAAACGTGAGATGCACAAATTTAGAGAGATCTCCCTTCCAAACAGTCATACAGACTATTTGTACCAGACCTGAGATAAAGCTCTTCAAACTCATATTGGTATGATCATCCACAGCTGGACACATCATACACTGACCTGGACATCGTCCTATCATTTTGGTCCTCTTCAATACAAAGGACAAACCACAACAAGAATACCCATCGGCCTTCTACTGGAAGTCTTTCCTGGTTCCCCCAGCTATTGTGCCTTCTCCCAAGGTTTGTTCTCTGATAGAATACAAGCACCTTCAAGGCAATGACTGCTTTATTTTTGTATTTTCATCATCTAGCACAGTCCCTGGTACATTGTAGGTGATTAATAATGCTTACTGACTACTGTGTCTTGCATACCTAATCTAGTCCACTGATTCAGCACTCTGTTTCTTAGCCAGTACCAAGTAGTTTTGATGACTGCTGCTTTATAATACAATTTTAAGATCTGGAATGGCTAGGCCATCCTCCCCTGAGTTTCTTTTCATTAGTTCCCTTACTATCCTGGACCTTTTGTTATTCCAAATGAATCTTCTTCTTACTTTTTCTAGCTCTATAAAATAATTTTTGGCAGTTTGATTGGTATGTCACTGAATAAGTAAATAAGCTTAGGCAGAATTGTCATTTTTATTACACTAGCTAGGCCTACCCATGAGCAACTGATGTTTTTCCAATCATTTAGATCTAATTTTATTTGTGTGAAGTGTTTTGTAATTGTGTTCATATACTTCCTGGGTTTGTTTTGGCAGGTACACTCCTAAATATTTTATGTCTACAGTAAATTTAAATGGAATTTCTCTTTCTAGCTCTTGCTGTTGGGCTTTGTGGTAATATACAGAAATGCTGATGTTTAAGTGGGTTTATTTTATAGCCTGCAACTTTGCTAAAGTTGTTTATTATTTCAAGTAATTTTTTACTAGATTCTCCAGGATTTTCTAAGTATATCATCATATCATCTGCAAAGAGTGATAGCTTTGTTTCTTCTTTCCCTATTCTAATACCTTCAATTTCTTTTTCTTCTCTTATTGCTAAAGCTAACCTTTTCAGTACTATACTGAACAAGAGTGTAATAATGGACCATCCTTGTTTCGCTCCCGATCTTATTGAAAATGCTTCTAGCTTATCCCCATCACATACAGAAGAATTCATGACCGAACAGGAGATAAAGAACATTATAAAATGCAAAATGGACAATTCTGATTATATCAAATTGAAAAGTTTTTGTACAAAGCCAATGCAACCAAGATTGGGAGGGAAGCAGAAAACTGCTAAAGAATTTTTATAAACA